TATCTGGAATCCTTTTTTTATTGTAAAATATTTGGACAAATGAGTCGATCAGTCACTCTCATAAACTATATTTTTGGTTTCAAAGACATTAATCAGGGCTTTATTACCACTATTAAATATCTGGATTCCTATTTTTATCTGTAAAATATTTGGACACATGAGGGATGATAATGATCAATAAAACTACAAAAGATAATAATGATTTGCAAAGATTTCTTTTACCTTCTCGACAGCCTTTTCATTGATAAGCGGACCTTGAGTTGAAGTCTTATCCAATCCATGTCCTACTATCAACCTTTTGTCCATAGCTTCTGAAAGTTTAGCAACGAAGTTGTCATAGATACCATCTTGTACTAGGATACGATTAGGGGCAACACATGCCTGAAACAAAGGAAGACAGTCAATGGTCCCTCCCTTATGACGTCATGTTCATTTCGCCGAAGTGCATCATGGGATTGATAAAAAATCAAGATGACGGCTGTAATTTCTTTGCGAAATGAACGTTTTTTGCGGTTTTTCGAGAATGTTTTGGAGAACATTAAATAAGAAGCCTACTCACTAGAGGAAAATGAAAGACAAATCTAAGGGATAAGTAATGTTGTTCACAAAACAGCCCAAAACACAAAAAATGGCTGCACTTTTCAATTTTATCAATCTCAAGTTTCAAGCGACGCCATTTTCTTGAACAAATCATCATGGGAAGTGAAGTCTTCTAGATATTTATGCCAGCTAAGATAATATCACAACATCTTAGCTTTTCTTTATAACTTTGTATTAAAAAAAAATTGGAGTTATTTCCGCGGTCATGTAAAGTGTGCATCGCCGCCACTTTGGAAAGCAAAGGATGATGGGAAATGTCATCAGCTTTTTACGTACTCAAAAATGATCCACAAAACGTTTTTATTTTGATTATTATTTGTATTTTTGCAAAGAACACATAGAAACGGCCTGGGATTATTTCTAAGCCCCATGACAGACAGGTGCGAGGAATGCCATTATTTCGGTAGTTCGAAAAAAAAAACTCAAAGTGGACCATCTGACGCGAAAATTCAATCACGTAGAAAAGCTGATTTCCGTTATTCATTGAATCTACAAATAAGTGCCCAAACGTTTTGATTACAGTACTAATATTTTGATTAAACTTCAAATAAGTTGTAAACACCCTGCCAGGAAGGATCTTTTTTCTTTAATTCAATTCAGTGGTAAAAATAACTAGATTACAAAATAAAATTGATCTTCACTGGGGGAAGATTGATGAAACATCTTTATAATCGAGAACGTTGAACTACTGATAGCAGTGTTAAACAACAATGTACGCTTTCAACAAGACAACAAACTCCTCTTTCACTAAGTGCACTTTTAACACTAAAATCCAATTCTTCCAGCTTATAACACCGATAGTTCTTGGTCAAATAGCTGTTGCTGCTAATATTTTAGTCGCCAGCCTCGTTGTGTTTAACAGAAAACTTCATAAGACCGTGAACTTTTACATCCTTAACATGGCCGTCTCAGATACCATCACGGCGTTGGTCGTGTGTTTCAAATACGTGAATTTCTTTTTCCACAAGTCGCATGAGCTATTCAAACCCAGCGACACTAAATGCAGACTTGAAAAGTACTTTAGAAGAGTGGCGCCGCTTGTTTCTTTGCTTACGATGTTGGTTATCAGTATCGATAGGTATCGAGTTGTTTCTAAGCCGCTGACTTCGGCAGCAACGCCGCCTTCCAGAACCAAGCTCATTGTTTCCATTGCCTTAACCTGGATCATTCCTTGTTCTATCAGCGTCTACCATGGAATTCTTCTGAAGTATTCTATACCCAACGGCATGTGTGATTCACTTGGGCAATATCCAGGAACCATCGCCTTCAAAATAACATCCACAACTATTCCTCTTGTACTATTTATAACGACAGTATATTTGAACTTCAAAATCATCAGAAAATTAGACAAGAACACAGAGGAATTATCCAATATTCAAGAAAACGAGCGAAAGAAGCGAGTAAAGTCCATCAAAAGTGCTGTTTTAATGGTGCGATGCTCATTGTTGGTATTTTTTGTCTGCTGGTTTCCAATTCATTTGGCCAATGCTTTCTCGAGTCTCGGCAAGGCTGTAGCTCAAAAGAACAATTCAAAGTGTTCTGGTGGAATTAGTGTAATCACGGCGAGTGTGCTGAACTATCTACTGATAGCAAACAGTGCATTGGGGCCTCTGTTCTACTTTATCTTCATACGGGACTTTAGAAATGCTGTCAAGAAGCTATGCCGGTCTTGCAATGGTATTTCGAACGTACAGCACAATTCACAGAGCACAATTCATACTTCAGAACAGCGTCTTTGAATGTTGTCAAGGGACATTTCAAGAACAAAAGGCAAACGGACAAGAAATTTTAAAAATACGGCCAAGGAACTATGCCGGACTTGCAATGGTATTTCGAACGTACAGCACAATTCACAGAGCACAATTCATACTTCACAACTGCGTCTTTGATTGTTGTCAAGGAACATTTCAAGAACAAAAGACAACCGGACAACGAGGCAAAAAAAAAAAGTTTAACTTTAGAATAATCTTGTAGTTTAACGCAATTAGCAGCGATTTTATAGGGGAATACAGCCTTATCGGAACGCCGTTAGCTTAAAAGTACTATTAGACACAATACCAGTAAATCTATGGTAGGGCGCGAGTAAACGCTCCTAGAGCGTCTAGGTCTGTAATATAATTTGTTAAATGTATTTAATATATAAACGCTCTTAAAGCGTCTAGGTCTGTAATATAATTTGTTAAATATATTTATATATAAACGCTCCTAGAGCGTCTAGGTCTGTAATATAATTTAATTTATTTAATATATAATTTGTTTGACTCATTTATGTCAAACCTCCTTCAACGTTCAACAATCGCTGCTATTATTACGTTGTCGCACCGTGACAAGATCGAAAGACAGTACGGGTTAAATTAATATGCATCTCAATCTGAAGACAATCGAACTCTTCTTTATTTGAGTCATTATTTTTTCGGACACTAACAATACTTTTCGGAACGTGAACCGTGAACTTTTCACGATCGAGATTACCGATATTGTGATATTTGTTTCTACAAACAAAACTCAATAAAAGATTAACGGTTTAACTTTGAATTTTTTCATTATTGACTTTGAAGAAATTAGAAAAAGGAAAATTTTTCGCGCATTACAATAAGAAATGTAGAGCACCAGACTTTAAGTGAGAAAAAAAGAGGGTGGGGGGGAGGGGAGGGGGGAATTCCCCCTTTTTTCCTCCCCTGAATCCGTCCCTGATAAGCTTGTTTTTGAATGGATCCCATCTATTGATGAATTACCTGGCCAGTATTTCTGTGTTTACTTGCAATAACCCCACTCACTGCCTGGTCAACATCAGCTGAGTCAAACACTATAAAAGGCGCATTGCCGCCAAGTTCCAGCGACACTTTCTTGACGGTATCCACACACTTGGACATTAGTAGCTACAATGGAAAATATTATCTAATAAAACAATTGGCAAATGTCAATTATTGACTTATTGTTTAACTCATAAATAATTCATGAGTTTCTAGCCCAATCAGGGTTTATTGGAAAATACAATGGAAAATAGTTTGTTGCCATGTGACAAGAAATGCCAGGCATTCCTGGTTTTCGCAATTGAAACTCCAAGGATTCTGGATTCCATGAAAAATTTTGCAAGGATTCTGGACTTCACCATATTGGATTCAGAATGCAAAGCATCCTAGCTTTTTTAGGAAACATTTGAAGTAGCCAATTTGAATTTTGGATTCCTTTTACATTGTAATTCCATTCCCGGATTCAAAGTGTCTGGATGCAAGATTCCAAAGCCAAAATTTTGTTGGATTCTGGATTCCAGATTTGGTGTCGTGGGTCGAAATATTTGTTATAATACAATGTCATTGGGCATATAAATCATTCATAATTCATTAATAATTCATGAGCTTCTAGCCAATCAGAGTTCATTTATGTCAAATTACCTTTCCAGTAGCACAAGACCCTGTGAATGACATTTTTGAAACAAGGTCACTCTTAAGGATAACGTCAGCTAAGATTCCTGCATTCTCTCTAGAGCAAGGCAGGGTATTCACCACACCTAGTGGGAAACCAGCTTCCTCTGAAAGCTGATAAATAACAGCAAAGTTAAAAATAATGACAATACTTAGTTGAAATCGTGGAAACTAGCAGTAAACTTGTGTGAGTTACGTTGATGTTTCTAAAGAAACAGTTTTACGGTGTTAAATTCTCTTTTTACACAACAATACTTTGTAGTCTCCTTTGCAGCATCCCCTTTTGTGGGGCTTCCTGTCCCTCCCAACAGCAAGCCCGACAAAAGTGGAGGCTGCAAAGGAGACTACAATACTTTGTAGAGATACTTGGTTGTTGGCTGAATATGCTTATAAAGCAAAATAATAAGTACAAAAATAAATGTATTAAAAAAATGTTACTATGATATTAAACCTTTCTCCTTATTATTATCAAAACAGATAATAATTATATGTATTATCATGACCTTTGTTTTACCACAGCCATTCAACCACATATTCAATAATAAATACAATGATAATGATAAATAAAACATCAGTAGTAATGTTACCTGCTGCAATGCTAATGCACATAGTGGTGTTTCTTCGGATGGTTTAATAATCACTGTACAACCAGCAGCAAGTGCAGCAGCAGCAGCACGGGTCACCATTGCATATGGAAAATTCCACTAAAATTAGAGATGGAATATAATGTAGTGCTTGTCGCTCTGAGTGAAGGTTAACTTTCGGGTTAACTTACGGGTGTCCAGATAGCTGTCACACCAACTGGTTGTTTTATTACCAATAGTCTTCGTCCAGGTAATGGAGTAGGAATGATGGTTCCACAAACACGCCTTGCTTCCTCCGCCAGCCATTCCACGTGTGCCATCGCATAGTTTAGTTCACCGTATGCTTCAGCTAAAGGTTTTCCCTGCAATAAACATGAGGCACATTGTTAGGGAACTGGGCACTAGTTTCAAGCAGAAGTGAGCAGGGGACTGGGTACTACCCTTACCTGTTCTTTTGTTAGAATTCTTGCAAGTTCATCTTGATTCTTTAACATTAAATTTCGCCATTTTTTCAGCTTGTCACTGCGTTCCTAGTTAGCAATAGATAATAATAATAATATTAACTTCAACTCCCCCTTCAATTCCTCCTCCCCTCCCTCCCTCCCCCCCTTCCCTCCCCGCATTTTGGACATTTAGAGATAGCATTTGTGTAGTTAATTTTGAGACTTCTATGACGGCATGCTTCATACTAGAACGTTTTTAGAAGAGTTTTACCTCACAATAATATCAAAAAATATTAAATGATTATGCATAACAACCAAATAAACAAAAGATAGTCAAAAAATACATTCACGACTTTCCATTACCCAGTTTCAGTGACCATGAACAAAGCATTGAACCGAGGCTTCAAGTAACACTGATCACAGATCTTTTCTTTTATGCTCACTGTACCTTGACACCTCGGTTTAATGCTTTGTTCGTGGTCACTGAAGCTGGATATGGAAAGTCGTGAATTTATACCTTTGAAGTTGTTGTCCTCCACGTTTTGAAAGCAGCATGGGCTGCCTGGACAGCAAGATTAGCTTCCTTTTCTCCCATATCTGCAACTCGCTCTATTTCTTTCCCCGTAGAAGGGTCGTATACGAGGAACGTAGAGGAGCTTGGTATCCATTTTCCGCTTATAAACCCTTTATTTCGAATGAGCGAAAATTGTTTCTGCATTGCCGCCATTTTGGACTTCCGGCTCAGGAATTGTTATGGTACAGCGGTATTACCCATGGCTATATTTCTCCATGACGATAAAAATGGCGGTGAACGAGTTTAAAAAATAGTCGGTGTGTTTTTTCTTAAAATCGCCATTGATCGTTTCCTGATTACAGAAAATGTTTGACATGAAGGGAAAGCTACACAAAGTTGTTTAATTCTGACGATATTTCACCGATGTGACCAAGGAATTCGCGGTTTTTAGATATCAAACGAACTTGGGATACTTGGTCGCCATGGTAAGCAAGCTACTTGCAATGAAACTGAATCATAAAACGACTTTAAAATCATTTTAAGCGCTTATTYACGATAAACTATTGCGACTGGACGTATTTTCTCAAATATAGTGAATGGAATTTCATTTTTTTTAGTGAAGAATCTGAACAAAAAGGATGGAAAAAGGGAAACAAACAGCTTGTCGCTTTTTATAGGAGAGAGAGGGGGGGGGGGGGGGGGGGGGGGTAATGTAGTGCATTTTTCAAAATATTAAGACTTTGTTTTATTGCTTTTCAAAGTCAAAGCCAAAAGGAGGGGAATCAGTTAAAGTTGTGGTCAGATGTCGGCCAATGAATGAGAAGGAAGTTGCAGCTGGTCATGAAAGGTAAGTACAACAAAATAGGCACTATATAATGTAGAAACCTTTGTGCATTCATACCCCACCCCTCTCTGCTGAGCAGAAAAATCTGAAAGATTTCTATATTTTCTGATGTGAGGAGTGTTAGCATTGAATGTGTCATGGATATGTATGACATGTCAAAGTTTTGAACATGTTATATTAATAAAGGATTTATCATGTTACATGTACTTCCCAATCTCCCTGCCCCCCCTTTCCCTTCCATCTCTTCCCACTCTTCCCCCCCCTTTTTTATTTCAAATTGTTGTGTAATGAATTTTTTGTGTTCATTCTTTTCGTCATTCGTTTATTATTTTCAGAGTCGTAGAGATGAATGTCAAAAAGGGTACAATAGAAATCAAGAATCTATTAAAGCAAGGAGAGGTCCCAAAGATGTTCACATATGATGCAGTATATGACTGGAAGTATGCCATTAAATTCAATATCAGTTCTAATAGTATATAGGCCCTGTGCATGTAGGGGTCGCATGACCATGCCTACCTTAAAGAAGTCRTTAAACGATGCTTTAATGCAATTTTTTGTTCACAGCTCRAAGCAGATAGACCTTTATGATGAAACATTTCGACAGCTTGTGGATTCTGTCCTTGAAGGATACAATGGTGAGAATTGATAAATCAAAATAACTAGTTCAAAGATATTTGTTTAATTTAAAATAAATTGAAAAGAACTACAATTGTGTCTGCATAGTGAATTTTCCATATATTTCATGTTGCTATTTATCCACCCATCTATTCATCCATTTATTTATGCTTTCATTCGTTCATTTAATATTCTCCTTTTTTTCATCCAAACATCTGTCTGTCTGTCTGTCCTTCCATTCATCCCTTTATCCATGTCCCACTCATTCTTTCATTTGTCCATCCATTTATTCCTTTATAGATTGATAATTGATTCATTTAGCATCCAAAGCTAAAGCAGGCCATAGTTTGTAGAGGGAAATGGTTAGGAAGCCTTTTGTTGTAGGTTTTTGTGCACTTTTTTCCAAGCGTGGCTGTGCACAATCTTTTGTTTAACTATTGTTTTAGCCATACTGGTCACATCTGAATGAACAGAGAGAAAATTGTTCTTTTGACTTTTTCTTCAAAATGCACAAACTTTTTGAGACAATGTTGAAATATTTCATTTCATAATCTCATAGAGGGTGTTTATGTTCACTCATTTTGCAATTTCCATCATCCGTAAGAAAAAAGTTGTGCACGGTCTTTACAAAAGAAGTACAACAAAAGGTTTCCAAACAATTCCCCTCTCTTCATTATGAACAGACATATCATTATCATGGCAATTGTCATTTCAGGAACAATTTTTGCTTATGGTCAGACTGGAACAGGGAAGACATTCACCATGGAAGGTAAATCTGTTTGACTATTAATTATTAATGTATTTTCCTTAATTAATATTTAATTATTATTATTATTATTATTATTCGTCAGGGGTAAAGTCAGACCCAAACTTAAAAGGTGTCATCCCCAACTCCTTTGAGCATATCTTCACACACATTGCTCGTACAACCAATGAACAATACCTGGTACGGGCTTCCTACCTGGAAATCTACCAGGAAGAGATCAAAGACTTGTTGGCAAAGGATTTGAAGCGAAGACTAGAGCTTAAAGAAAGACCAGATACTGGTGTTTACGTTAAGGTAATGTTGTTGTCTCAGAAGATGGACCAGATTTGTARTGTAATACAGTCATGTAGAATTTTTAGAGTTCACTGTGTGATATGCTTTGGCATTCTTGAGTTTGAATCTTTATTTGTTTCAAACCTAGGACTTGTCGTAGGCAAAACACCAATTGAACAATTTTTGCGCAAAGCATTTCTGAAAGCAAACTTTGAAAACACCACTTCTGCTTGTTTGTTATACTGTACATACACAAAGTTTCAAAAAGTAAATAATGTATTTTCCTTGAATTTTACAGGATCTTCAGTCATTTGTTTGTAAAAGTGTTAAAGAGATAGAACATGTAATGAGTGTGGGAAACCAAAATAGATCAGTTGGGTAGGTACATGGCATGTACACTTTTTATATGTCAATTGATGTTTCAGTGTTCCTTCATTCTAAACATATATGCATGACATTGTGCACCTTTTTAGAGCGATTTCGTATGAGTGGGAAACGGACGATACTGTACTGTGTCCGTAATCGTACTGTAACCAAATTCTGCAGGCCAGGTGCGGTAACTGTGCGGTAACCGTGCGGTAATGGTGTCCCACTCATACGAAATCTGCTCTATTAGAGAGTTACTTACAGTAAGAAGATATTGCATGTAGTGTATAATTTACTAAAAGTCAACTACTAATTGAGACTTTTCTTCAGGGCTACCAATATGAATGAGCATTCATCCAG